TAACTTGTGTACTTGTGTGCAAATTTTCAGATCATGTCATTACCCGTTGTTCTAGAATAATCATTTGTATTGTGGAAAATGACAAAAAAAAAAATGAAAAAGGGTTGAAATCAGGCTAAGGGTCGCACAAAAAATCACTCTTCAGTTTAATTATTCGCATATTTCTTTATTATCATTTGCATATATTTCAATTTTAAGTGATTAACTTAATCTATGTAAGATTTTTTCAAATTATGTAATTTTAGAATTTGTTTTAACTCAGTAGTACCCCTTTAATATATCTTAGTATACCTTATTTCTGTAAGAATAAGTCAATTTTAAACACCTTAGATATTACATTTTAAAAGCACAATATTTTTCTACGTTTTCATTTCAGTATCAACATTTTGCCATAACATTTCCATATACATGCATGCATGCATTAACTACAAATAAGAAACACACGAATGATGCAATTCTGCAAATAAAACATTTTCATTAAAATCTTAATTATTTATATTTCATAAATATTTACAAAGATTTTAATTACATTTAAAATATATATTAAAAGAACATTTTTAGAACAAACATACATTCCACCAGCAAAACATTTCATAAAACGAATTTCAAAACAGATGATATAATACTAAATGTAAGCGTTACACAATCAAACGGAGTGTCAAACATTCTGAAGATGTAACATACATAATTATTGTTTGTTTATATTTAACGAGAATTGCTGAACTGTTGAACATTTTATTTCTATCGGTAAAGATTAAAGGAATACACTTAATATTAGACGCAATAAAAATACATATCTTCACACAAATGTAAGCTACTTATTTCAATGATTGGCGGATTGGAGTGTAGCAATTAACATGGTAAATGATAATTGTTTCGTAACGTCTAAAGCAATTAAATACCTGATAGATATTCTCTGGAAATATTGACCAAATATCATGGTACTCTTTAGCACAATAACAACTAAAGAGTAGTGCCAAGCTGATTAGAGGTGGATTTTTTTAGTATTAAAAATATCTGATAGTTGATGAATTTTTACAAATTTGGATTAGTGCATTTATATTGCACATACAGTAATCGTTGCAAACTCACATTTCTGAGGAGTCAAACATGTGACTTTAAACTTACCTGTACTAAGATTATTGTTATTGGTGCTTTTGTGTGTATATAACAAGGTTTACGCTTAACTGCTTTTGTAAATCTTCCCAATTCAAAAGCACATCTCTTAAATAGAAAAACAGTTACTTTATAACCTGTATATTGCCATTTAATGACATTTTAGTACCTTTTACTTTGCTGTCTGTTCAAATAACAGTTCGCTTCCTGGAACCGTTTTTATGGCCGAAATAAAATAGATATGGATGCGTTGACCTATATATTTAGTATAAAGGGAGATCTGTAGAGAGAAATAAACCACATTTCAAAGCGTGACAATTTCTCAGTTTAATTTAGTCTCTTTTGCTACATACACATATACTATGATCCTATGGTTTGTATTATTTTCTTAAGTTTCCACGACTTTCAATGAAATGAACAAACTAAGCGTAACTTGTGACAATCTACTATTCCTCCTGTCATAAAAGGTCTTTAACATGATTTATGATGGTTATTTTAAAGGGCAAATTGAAATATAGCTTGTTTTCTTGCGTATATAATCATGTGAGTAAAATGGTCACGATATATATAGACAAAGGTAAGTAGCATTTAAAACAATTTCAATAACAAGAATAAATATGCAAATGAGTTTTCATGATATTGTAGTGGAGGCGAAAGATTTGAGTGTTTATGTAGTTTTGAAATAAACAGGAAATCTTATGTTCTTTAAAATGAAATCCTCACTAATGGTGTAACATTGTGGTTTAATTTTATACACAATCAAAGGATTAACGTTTAATTAAGTTTAATAGTATAATGCTGTAGTCGAGTATTTGCTATTGGTAAAATATTTCTTTGTATCTCTAAGTTGACAAATTAAATTATTGCACCTACATTGGGCGAAAGATGTTTGATAAATGCCTTTTAATCGGTTAACCTACTTACTTGTAATTAGTTATTGAATATTTTGTTAGAGGTATTATGATTGTGCTTATCATCCTCATCCTCATCATTATCATTATCATCATCATCATTATTATCATCATCATCACCATCATCATCATTATCATCATCATCATCGTCATTATTATTATTATCAATTTTCATGCGCATTAAATAACAATACACCCTTTCCTAAAACATTCGACCACAAATATCATTAGGGAAGGCATCAGATTAGTAATCCTGGGATCGATGGTTCGGTCATCGTGACAATTTATCTAGGACATTGAGTAATATGGTCATTTGTCAATCACTGAGTTAGAAACAAGGTTGGATTAGTAGTTGGTCAGTTGCGGAGAAATTGGTTTAATTACAGGTTTAGATATCTAGGAAAGCCTAGCAAAGATGTATTAAAATGGGCGCCAAAAACAAGAAACAAACAAGCAAACGAACAAACAAACACATGTGAAATATTGCAATCAAAAGTCGCACTTAAAATTATAATACTAGTAGTTCTTAGTTTTTCAGGTTTCTTATTGACAGTAAAAAGTGTAATACATCTGTGACTTTAACATTGCTCAATTGACAATGAAATCTCATGGCATCGGATTAAAATATGACTGTTTTTGGTATAGTGCAACCACGAAAAGTAAAATAAAATATTACGTGTCATGTAGGTGAAGAATCAAAAGTAATCAATGTTGTAGAAGAGGAGCTGGCAAGGAATTAAATCAATGAAACTGTAATTACGCAACGTAAAAATAGATTCTATCTCGCGTCTAGGATTTTAATTATTTATTTAGTTTGATATAGTTGATAATGAAAAGCCAGAGTTTTCTTTAATATTTAATCCCAAAGGCCAGCCACTAATTGTGCTGAACAGTTCATCTAAGTAGTCTAAAACGAAATAATGTTTTAAAGCTTTTTGAACCTTATTTCTATTCTCTTTAATGTTTTATTTTTTCAATTAAAGAATGTTCATTTTGAAGTGTTGTGCGTGTAAATTATATCACCAGAACGTAAATGTAATAAGAAATTACATTACAGATGCTACTAATATGTTGTTTCATTATGAAGATGTTTTGTCAGAAATGGTACATGAGGTCTGCAATAACCAGTTTCAAGTAATTAAATCATCACCTTCCACTAGTCTTTAAGTGGCAACATGGTCCAAGTCAAAGTGTTAATTCTTACTTTTAAATGATTAATTCATCAGACCCATGATGTTATAAACTAGCATACTTTTGAATAACATTGCAAAAAGAAGTACTACTGTTATAAGAAATCATTACAAAAACAACATGTTTTAGAATAATATGTAACCCATATTTCATGGTTGTGAACAACGACTTCATTGTAAAGACAAACGATGAAAATCCTGAAAATATTGTTTTACAAATGAATCGAGTGATGAAAATGCACAGTCTTTCAGATATTGATATCTAAAAATATGAATGTGTTTATCTGTATTAACATTAAAATGTGAATATAAGAAAGAATTGTTAATAAGTGGTTCTGTTATATATACATCCACATTGCATTTACTATGCAATAATTATGTAGTATATTTTGGGAAAGTGTGTGTCCACGTTTGTTATTTCTCAAAGATGTTGGTGAAACAACAATGACTACAGGCAAAAATGGATGATTCAACTATTTGGTAAAATGCATTGTTTAATTTGTTAATTTGTCGGCATTTATATCACGGACATTGACTGTTTTTTACAGACCAGACATTTAATTAAAAATTACAACCCTTTAACAAGAGGAAATCAAACTTGTGACCAGAAAGAACAATAGGTTAAATTTAAAATTCAAATATACTACCTTAATAATGCAACGGACTCACTTCAAAAGAACCCAAAATGATAAATATAACAATTTCTCAAAATAAAGAAGAAGGAAACTTAAAGAACACCAAAAAGAGCAAAATGGAAGATACTGCAGACCCAGTTTGATTGTTGTGCTGTCATGGTAAATGCAATTTACCTGCGCAAAAACCTGTTTAAGGAAACATGAACATTTTGTTTAATTAAGCCTTTTCATAAACGGTTGCATATGCGTTGATCTGGTGGTGATCTTGGAACACACAAGGTGGTACCTTCCTTTCCATTCAATTCTCGTTTCCTAAGCAAAGGGCAAAATTTAATTAAATTGAATAAGTATTGAGAATGTATCAGATGTTTGAAGCTTGCATATTATGGACAAATGCTAAAATACAAATTTGAAAAGTAGGCAACAAATATTAAGGATTGATAAACATAGTACTTGCTATACCAAATTACCATTTTAAGAACTGTTAATGAATTCATCAGACGCTAAATGTACAAAACACAAAATAGATTAAGAGAGTGTGAAAAGCACTTTTACTTGTAAATATTACACGTCTTTAAACAATGCATCTACAAACATTATCATACTCGGATGCATTAAGTCTAGACTTTAAATTTGTAAAAATACATATGAACTTGTTCAAGAAAGACACATTTCACAAATGATAAATAACTCTCTTTGCGACTGTGAAATGTATGTTTGCTTTATAACGTAATATGCTAACAATAGGAATATGTATACTGAATTGTAAAAACAAATTTATGCATTGAAATTAAACGCTCATAACTTTTTTAAGATTAAATGGCCAGTCAGTACATTTCTTTATTGCACTATTAAAGTATATATCTGTTGTAACACAAACGACGTTCACTGTTAAAGTTTATATCTGTTAATACACAAACGAAAATATAAAAAATAATGTCTTGCTACATTAGATGTAAAAACAATACAAATCATATGTTGTTCTTATTTCGATAATGTGAAAGGTAATTTTCAATCAATTTAATCAGTTTACATGTATTAAAATGAACTTTATTATTATTATTGTTCTTATATTCAAAGAAATATTATAAATAAAACTATTTCTATTCTAAAATGAGAATGTTATGCAATTTATTTTTCTGTTTTGTTTATTTCAGGTATAAAATATATACGTCATGAGAATTATGTGATAACGCAGGAATACATAATATTCTTTGAAGTAAGTAAATTCATTTTTCTTATAGCACCATATCTCCAGTTGTGTGTTGTTTTAATAACAATTTAATAAAAGAATGTTCCAATAAGTCATAAAATTGCATGGCGTATAAATTAAGTCAATCAGTTCAAGTTTTCAAGTGCAAACCAATAAGAGTAAAGTTTGCATTTATTCTCCCCCTCTCCTCCAAACGATGCGATTTTCAATCTGCTGCAAGCTTTATATGTTTTGGCAAATATTCGTCCTTTTTTCGTAAATTGCTCAAGTAAATGTTTGTAAATTGTATGCTACGAGCGAGTCAAAAATCTACCCTGTTTTTCAAGTTGTGTTAAAGCCAAATATAGTTCCATTTCATCATATTAATTCTCAAACGCTTGATATGTAAGTTAATCAATTTACTGCTCTATTGCAATGCCTTAGTACTAGAAATGACTTCACTTTAACTAAATTGACTAAATTAAACACTGATGTCGATGAAATGAGAAATCTTTGTCTGAAATTTGTTAAAGATTTTACTTTTTCAGCCTAGCCGTTCTTATTTCAATCGAACTTTCTTTGCCGCAAGCGTTATTTAGATAACAAAACCCGAATACGACTTAGAATACAATCATTTATACAGTCTTGAGGCTAGTTCTGAATAATTTATTTTACTTGTTTTGCCATGATGATGCTTGGGGTATCTTCTTGAAAATTGAAACATAATGTAACTATTATGTCCAAGTGGAATACCATACTAGGAACATATCTTTCAGTTAAATTCAACAGGTTTACTTGTGGAAACCATTAATATTTTATAGAATATCTGGATCAATATAAAAAGATAAAATTGCCAAAGGCGATATCTAAAAGTCCAAAATTATTCTCAATAAAGGGTAAAATTATTACAGTATCAAATAACATTTAAGCTTTTATTCATGGTATTTCACATAAAAATGAGACATAATACACAAAGCTAACTTAAATCTTGATTTCTGTTATGTTAGTCAGACGACATTACAACTTATTATTGAGTAATTGAAAGTCATCACTAAAATGATAAATTATTTATTCTAACACGACCCGCATTTTTCCCTATTGAACATAGAAGAACCAAAAGTGTGTGTTATTATGCAATAAAATCACTGTTTGACGTTCTATATTTAGACATGTGACGTAATCATTATACACGTGACGTAGCCACTAAAAATGTGACGCGCTGACAATAAGTACGGAAAAAAATCAGACGCAATTTAGCTAATTATCATGTACGGCAGCATTTATTTGTTGATGTCGTGTTAGAATCGAAATAATATATCCAAATCGATGATTTTATTGCTTGATAACATCACTGTTTGTCGTTCGGATGCGCATCATTATATCACTCGGGCTACGCCCTTGTGATATAATTCCCCGCATCCGAACTCCAAACAGTGATGTTACTGAGCAATAAAATTACAGCTTGGGATATATTATTTCTTAATCAAAACATCAGAGAGGTCGTCAGCGAAGTCATAAATATGTTGCCACATAATTATAATCATTTAAGCTATTTTTATTCCCTAGATCATCGACATACGTACATTGATAAAACCTCACTCTTAAACCGACTGTTTGAAAGCAGGAAAATAAGCCCTCAGAGATAAAAACGAAAGACAAAAATGCTTTCAAAAGGTTTGAAGTCTTAACACTCGTATTTCGTTTTTTAAGACTTAACATTGGTTCAATGTTTTTGTTGTTATTGCATTGAAATGTCACAGTGGTCAGTAATTAAGCTTGATTGTAGTCTTACTTTGAGAATACAAACTTAACAAGATATGTTTGTAAAACATGTATGCCCCCTGTCGGCAGCCAATTAGTCATGTGATCAGGTTATTATGCTTGACTTCTGACCCAGTGAACAAACAATTAATAAGGGTTATCTAGTATCTACTGGTCATGACTTGTCACAAGGTAATAATTATTGTGACCCTATAGGTTGTGTGCAGCCATTTAAGTTATTACAAATCTTACCAAATAATATATGCATAAATTTTATGAATCATGTAGGCCTCATTAATGACAGCCAAGTTGTTGACCCCTTGACCCCAAAATCAATAGGTCATCTGCTGGCAATGACCAATCATCATACCAAGTATGAAGTTTCTAGGCCTAAGCGTTCTTTAGTTATTGATTGGAAACCGTTTTTACCTACAAGGTCAATGTGACCTTGACCTTTGACCCCTTGACCCCAAAATCAATAGGGGTCATCTGCTGATCATGACCAATCACCATACCAAGTTTGAAGTTCCTAGGCCTAAGGGTTCTTTAGTTATTGATCGGAAACCGTTTTTGCTTACAAGGTCAATGTGACCTTGACCTTTGACCCCTTGACCCCAAAATCAATAGGGGTCATCTACTGAGCATGACCAATCACCATACCAAGTTTGAAGTTCTTAGGCCTAAGGGTTCTTTAGTTATTGATCGGAAACCGTTTTTGCTTACAAGGTCAATGTGACCTTGACCTTTGACCCCTTGACCCCAAAATCAATAGGGGTCATCTCCTGATCATGACCAATCACCATACCAAGTTTGAAGTTCCTAGGCCTAAGGGTTCTTTAGTTATTGATCGGAAACCGTTTTTGCTTACAAGGTCAATGTGACCTTGACCTTTGACCCCTTGACCCCAAAATCAATAGGGGTCATCTACTGATCATGACCAATCACCATACCAAGTTTGAAGTTCCTAGGCCTAAGGGTTCTTTAGTTATTGATCGGAAACCGTTTTTGCTTACAAGGTCAATGTGACCTTGACCTTTGACCCCTTGTCCTCAAAATCAATAGGGGTCATCTACTGATCATGACCAATCACCATACCAAGTTTGAAGTTCCTGGGCTTAAGGGTTCTTTAGTTATCACTCGGAAACCATTTGGTCTACGGACCGACGGACCGACGGACCAACGGACCGACGGACCGACGGACCGACAAGTGCAAAGCAATATACCCCCTCTTCTTCAAAGTGGGGGCATAATTATACGGTTACACTGACGAGACATGTACACTTTTTCATATCGTGGCCACGAGAAAATAAACTCGTTCCCATTAGGTTATATCCCATTGAAACGACGTAATATTTTTCCCCACGATATACTTTATACCTCCTGACGGTATATTATTACTCTAAAATAAACGAAAGAATTTTTTTCAAAGAAATAAAAAATGAGAAAATATCTTGTGAGGAAATATCTTGAAAAATTAAAATACATGTCTTGAGAAAATATCTCGTGGGACCAAGAAAGTAGCCCGTTGGAACGAGTTAATTATGCAGTGGTTAAAAGATTATATCTTATTGGAACCAGATAATTAGATCGTGGAAGAGACATGATAGTATCTCTTGGGGGGAAAAGGTGCAGTTTTACCTATGTGGCATAGTCACTAAGCTTGCTTCAGTATTCTTTACTATGTAAGTGTGTTAAGAATGTAGAAACGAAAGCAGTAGGTGGAAAATACAATAGAATGTATTACTTTGAGCAGTGAAACATTAAAAGACTAAATTGAACATGGCTTTTTGTAATTAAAAGGGTTTAATGTAGTTTGGATTTTTGCAGTTACAGTCGATGTTGCAGTTTGCTGCCAATATACACTATAATCTAATAGCGGAAAGATTTTTTGTTAAATTCGGTTTGTGTTGCGCATATTGCTTTTTAATTTGATTGTAGTATATCAACGCTGTATCAACTGAACCAATTTATATTTATTTGATTATGCCTTTTAATAAGGTTTCATTCTCAGAAATGTTTCCAGACATACCTGCAATGTTTCAAACAACAATTATTAGTTATGTAAATAGTATAAATAAATGCTGCATGTGATAAAAGTCGGTAGTTACCGGTTGTTCAATTAAAACAGATTATTAATTTAAAATGATTGCCAATACAAGAAGTTTTATGAAAATAATAAAGAGAGATATCTGTATAAGTCTATATTTTCTTCATATCCTAAACAGGAATGACAATAACTGTTTGCAACGAAAATGATATATGTGACATTAAATGACAATAGCACAGAAAACACAATTACTTTATTTACTTAAATATCGTTTACAAGCTTATCAAAAACTAATAACTTAGTTATATTTCAAAATGTACATGTACATAAAGACCAAGTGCATCATCTGACTCCATGTTCGCAAAGAAATCTTCACGATCATTATCAAATTATTTCAATAATTTCAAGGCCTTGCCATTGGTTCTTGTTGCTGGGTCATATGGGGGTTGCGTTCATTGAACGCCGCCTTTCCTTGTTGATCTTGTTTTTCATATTTTACACCTTCAATTAAGCGAAAAGGCATTTTTGAACTTGGTTTAAGCATATTAAACATCATAAATTAAATGATAAAAAAAATCAAAATAATTAAGGGTCGGTATAAAGATCGTCATGAACAGGTAAATATCTTGTTAAATGATTAAGGAGGAGATTTTGCTATAATCTTTTCTGATATTACATCACTTATTTCTTTATCATTTTTTTTGTAATTGAAACAGTATCTATTTTCTTCTCAACGAATTCCTTATTATACTCATCCTTCTGTGAGTTAATGTATAAACCTTCTCGTTAATGCGAATTATTGGCATTATATAACCTCATGCTTAACAATTTAACACGAAAAACGCATTTATCTTAGGGTTTAAACACATGTTATTTTTGGGTAAATTATGCAGTATTCCGCATGATCTCGTTTCTTTGTATAGCATTTATCTTATAACATTCTATTATACCTTTAATATGGTTGATAGCTCAGAGTTAAGAGCAATGGCTCACTTACTTGTAATTGCAAAGTATTGCGGTATTAGAGTCTTACAAATGACATTCACATATTTTCATTTACCTTTTTTTACCTCTTGTCCGATCCGCTGCCATAAATGTTTCGTTAAATGTCTTAATCTACTCAAAAACTATGCAGACAATTTATCTCCAGAAAAATCTGGAAACAAAGTTACATGAAAATTGCAGACTCGGTTTGATTGTGGGTCTTTACACGACGGAT